TAAATGATGTGAAAAAGAAAACAAGTTAATCATCAAATTAATTTATTAAGATTATTTTTTCATTTTGTTAAGTAATGAATAACATATATTAGTTACTACAGATACCAAAGTCACTTGCACATGGTTCAAAAACTTATAACAAAGCCTTCAAATAAATAATATAAAAGTTCCTTTCATCTAATCATAGAAAGAGAAATTAAAGCCCAGCACTTTAGTTCTCAATTAAAAATAAAACCTCAATTGAATCTTCCCAAAGACTATCTCAGTATTCCTAACTTTATGTTTAAATATTATATTATTCTTACCCAACCATAGTTACCAAATTAACCTATAGCAAATTACGCATAATTTTTCATTAATCTTTTATCGTACAAGAGTTTCTTTTTATAATATGTTACCAGCTGAAATATGTTTCATATAGACTGAAATATATTAAAATAAAAGCTCAACGGCATATAAAATCAAAGAGTTTATTTCAATAACTATTAAATATAAATTAAGTAAAAAGTTCAGATTAAATTTAAGAGTTTTTAGACTTACATAATAAACTGGATTATAAACAACAACATTGCATCGCGTATAGAATTGCCCCCTTATGAAAACGTTTAGCCTAAGCATATATAATGATTATAAAAATGGCAAGTTAATGAAATATGGTAGAATTAAGATGCACTTTAGTTTGTTTTGTGCGATGCAAAGTGTTAATTGATTTAAGGATTGTTGACATGAAAGAAGATTGAGTGGCCAACATGCGGACCCAGATTGCACAACCATGCAGGTCAACCTATAAACTAAATATATTTTTGTACTAAATGGCGAGTGGCAAATGAGAGTTTCCACTTTCCTAAAGGGGTATGAACTATGTAACAAATTAACATTGGTCATCAACACTAAATAATAGAACAAAATATTCAGATAATGAAAAAGTGGTGTGTATTATACATCATTCATGGAAAACATCATTATTTCCTCTGCTATTGAAATGCCCCAACGACCGGTGCACCTCTTAAGTTATTTCACCTCCACTTTGGACGGCAATATATATATTCCGTTTCCCAATTCATGATCATCGTGTTGTGCTATTATTTCTTCATCTCTCTTTCTTTAGCTGTCAACTTATTTTCTTGTTTCTTATATGATTTCACATTTTTGTTTTAATTACAACAATTAAATCATTAAATTTGTAAGATTAATTCGAAATGAGTTTAAGAGTGTTTTTTGCATAGTTATTTGAATGTAATATCTCTATCAATCAAATTAGCCAAGACAGCAATGGATATGATAATGTTTCCTATAGCTACCTTGTCTAACGGAATACCCAGCTGAAATCTATAGCCTATCACTATACAAATAAATAGGTGTCAAAGTAATTAGAGTTGTAAAGATGTCAAATTTTCTTTAATTACGAACAGCACAAACATAATTACATGTTTGATTTTGAAACGATTAGATTCTATGTTAATTATGCATAAAGACAAACGTGGTGGGTTTTGGTACGATCAAATTTTAAGGTCAAGGAAGGAATTGATGCACTTTGCATAACATGCACGATCTGAAGGTGACATGCCATCCTACGATCACAAACTATCGATTTGATTATGGAGAAGGAATCATTAGCTGTGAATTAACCAGTAAATCCCAAAATAAGTACTCCAGAAGCACCACGTTAATTATTATTTGAATACTTATTTCACTTAACTGGTAGAAAACACAGTATATCTTACAATTAGTTCATTCCTCCTTCTATGCTTCAAGCGTTGATTTCTTAATCCTCCAACTGGGAAAATACACTTTTTCTCCCCTCGATCAAAATACAACATTTTATATTCTAGTTTTTGAAAAAATACAAGTCTCGTATATCATATATATGCTATCTTTTCTTGTGTATGATTTTTGTCTAAATTTATTTTAAGAAACATTACTGAGGTGTTTGATTTGTAATCCACCGTCTACTTTCATTACTTTTTGTTTTCAATGTTTTTTACTTAAAAAATAACAAATAAAAACAATTTCCTAGATTTATGTAAAGTACTGTTATAGTTACTTGAGTTAATTTAGTTGGTAAATTCTAAGATAAAACTTAAGTTCTTTTTAATGTTATTTTTAATTAAAATTAAAGTTTTATTTTGATAATATATCAAATTTTAATCCGTAAATTATCAAAATAAAATTTTAATTTTAATTAAAAAATATCTACAATACTTTTATTAAATTTTATCCTAAATTATAGGACGACTCAGCCATATTTTTTGCTCAATCCAGTCTTGGGCCAAAATCTCATCAATTTTCATATCACCCACAAAACTCGACCTATAATCCCTAAGTGCATTTACTACTAATCAACTCAGGTGATTTGTAGCAATTAAGTTGATACTTCCCCTTATCTAAATAAATTTACATAACTTACGAGTGGCTATGAAGAGGGATCATATATGGAATAAGGCCTCTTTACCCATTAATTTGACGTTTGAGACTTGATTAAAATAGCTCACCCAATTCTTAATAGGGTAAAGCTTAGTATGAATAAGAACATTGCGTGAGTGTAAATTCTAATGCAATTTGCCCCCTTTCATTTTATTTTCCATCTCTTTCTTATATATCAAATTCCTATGAATTTTTGTCATGAATCGTTCCAATGTTGATTATTGCCTCTATTTTAGAAAACAGTACAATCTTATATGAATATGGGTTACCTATTTCGTGATAGATCCAAAAAAAATTAGGCCCGAAAACTGAAGACTACATGTATAATTAAGAATAAAATTTTTTAATTTCCATGTAAGAATCTTTTATGCGTTTCTAAGCTTATTTGAATCATAAAAAGTTAATAAATTTTGTGTTTGATTCACATAATTTTAAGGAAACAAAATCTTATTTTTATTAATTAAAAAATATAAAAATTTCAAAAATAAACTCAAACAAACATGTACTTATTTTATTAAATTTGTATACAAAATGGATGACTTCAAAATAATAATAATAATAATCGCCGCTAATTACTTTAGTTTAATAATCATAGAAATATTTGTCCAACAAACTTACAAATATAGAACTTATAATTTATTATCCTCTTGCGTACAAGTTTCATAATCTTTTTCCTAAATTTTTGTTTGCAATAATAAGAAATTATAAATCATTTAATTATATTTAATATGTGATTTTTTTCTATTTGAGTTTTATTTTTATAATTTAAAAAAATATTTGTAAACTCCAATTAGTGATTAAAATCATATAATTTTAAAGGATTGAAAATAAATAAAAAAGAATATATAGCCAATAATCAAGAAGTTGTTAAGTGTTTATTTTGTTCTTTTTTAAAAGGCTATATTCCACTAAATACGAAAAACAAGAAACTAATAGAAACCAAAGGCATGTATAATCTATAATGAATCATAATAGTTACTTTTATTATGTCTCATAAATTTTTCGAAAAACGATATCATATAGATTAAGAAGTTAATCTATTAACTGGTTAAAGATGTTCGTAAATCAATCTAATTAATGTAAATTATAAAAATTAAATTAAAAAGATAAAAATAAAAAATATTAAAAAATAAATATAAAAAATAATTTTCATTATATTAAATTGGAGTTTAGATTTAATTTTAAAATTGACCCTCAATCCAAATTAAATTCATACATCCATGTATCATTTTTTATGAAATTATCATATTACCTATATTTATATAAATAGATTTTATAAAATTATGATACCATTTTTAATTTATTATCCTATCATCTAAATTACGTTTTATTATTTTAATATTTTATGACTTTATTAGCCATTCATTATTCTAAGCTAAAATGTTTTTAATCAATGTAGATAGAGTCCGATTAGATATTAACTAAATCAAAAATTATTTTAGTTTTGTATTTACAATGGAGCAAAAAAAAATTAAATAAAGACCTATTTAATAACATTCTACGAGAGAGAGAAAAAAACTCTTTGAAAGCCATTTCTAACTAAATCAATGTGGTATAAAATTTAATAGACAAAGAGTGGTTTAAAACTTTTATTCTCACAAAGAATCTTTTTAATACTTCTAATTAAAGAAAATTATCGTACTAAGAACTAAATTTCTGAATAAAGGTAACAATAACTTTATAATCCCCTTCCACGTGAAACTCTTATTTTATATTTAAATTGGATATATATATATATATATTACTTAAAACCGATTATTTAAACAGAATCATGAATGCCCACTCTTGATTATTTATTCACGCAATTCACGTTTTATCAATTAGGGTTCGATCTAATAAAAAAGGTTTATATTCTTTAGAAACTGCCTATTATAAACTTTTAAAATTTGTAGATCTCGGGTACCTAAAATCTACAATAAATCCTAACTATGAAGTTAATGTAAATGAACTTATTCAAAATAGTAAAAGAAAATTATTACCTTTTTTGTAAGTTTAGAAAATCTGAAGCTCATTACTAAGTTGAAAATACCTTTGTTGTTCAAATTGAAAACTAGTTTAAAGAACAAATAATATTATAAAAAATATTATACAAATTTTTATGTAAATTATATAACTCTTTATAATATATTAAAATTTTAATTTATATTTTTACAACTTTTTTTTCTTTTTATCTCTTTTTTTCTAACACTTTATTCATCTCACATTTTTGCTTTAATTTCTTCTCTTGACCTATTTTAAACCTGAAAAATAAATATAAATAATATTTTTCCTAACTTTTCCCTCTCTCTGTTCTTGATGAAATTAATAAAAGATTAATCATAATTAAATTTATAGGAGTAAGGGCTGGAGAAAAGAACAAGCCATGTCTCGTAGTGAAAAGGATTTCCACCAATCCAAGATTCCCACAAAGCAAGCACAGCATCTAAAATTACATGTTCACAGATCAATTCATGTCCCAACACTCTCCTATAAATATTGCATCACTCATCACTCATCACTTCAAACCAAACACACCTTCCATTTTCCTCTTATTTCTACGCTCTCCTCTCTCTCCAAATCCACAAGACTCCATTTCCATGGCTTTCACAGCCTCACCTTCTATAAGAAATTCCATTTCATGGCCAACTATGGTTGCTTCTGATAACATCAAAGACAGGTTTTCATTTCAAAACAAAAGCATCTTCATAGGCCAGCGCAATATTAGAGACTTAACTCTTGCAAATGTTGCAAGTCCATTACCTATGATTGCTCCACCACCACCGGAGGAACGGCCAGGGACCACCGGCGGCCGCCACCACCATGTTGCATGGACTAGTATTCAACAAGAGAGATGGGAAGGAGAGTTGCTTGTTCAGGGACAAATACCACTATGGCTGGTAAGTCCTCATGATCATATTTAATGGTCATGAATTATCTATCATATACACATGTTTATGCATAATTATAAAGATTAACATGCAATAATCATTACTTAAATCTTATAACCTTGCACTTCACTCTCGTATAAACTACAAAACAAAGTGAAAAACAAGAGGAAATCTTCTTTTCGCAAAAGAAAAACCTGTTTTATTTTATTTTATTTTTCCTCTTGGGGCTACACCGTTCATTGTAAAATACAAATAAAATAAAATAATAAAGCTATTGATATCCTTCGCGAAATATATCGTACCCCCTATCACGTGTCAGAATGAAAAACCAATAAGGTATATTTTAACTAATTAAAAAAATAATAAAGTCGGTGTCAAAATCATTTTAATTTTAATCTTTGAATATTTATACTCATCATGAATTGGTATATTCTACGATACCAGATACACACGACGTGCGTCATCAAGTCCATCATTTTCGTTTGCTACGATAAATATTTATATATAACATGTATAGATCTGCATAATTAAAATGTACAGCTAGATCATCTGAATAAATAAACAAAAACAAATAAATATGAATAATTACATGCAGAAAGGAACGTACCTAAGGAATGGGCCAGGCATGTGGCACATAGGTAACTACAACTTCAGGCACCTCTTCGACGGTTACGCCACCCTCGTCAAGCTCCACTTCGAGAACGGCCGATTGATCGCCGGCCACCGGCAAGTCGAATCTCAGGCCTACCAAGCCGCAAAGAAGAACCAGAAAATCTGTTACCGTGAATTCTCCGAAGTGCCTAAGGCAGCGAACTTCTTGGCCTACGTGGGAGAACTTGCAAGCTTGTTCTCCGGCGCTTCACTCACCGACAATGCGAACACCGGCGTGGTGAAGCTCGGCGACGGGAGGGTGGTTTGTTTGACGGAGACTCAAAAAGGGTCGATACTGATAGAGCCTGAGACGTTGGACACGATTGGGAAATTTGAGTATAGTGATTCGTTGGGGGGTCTTATTCACTCTGCACACCCCATTGTGACGGATAAGGAGTTTTTGACTTTGTTACCTGATTTAGTGAAACCAGGGTATTTGGTGGTGAGGATGGAACCTGGCACCAATGAGAGAAGGGTTATTGGGCGGGTCAATTGTCGGGGCGGCCCAGCACCCGGTTGGGTCCATTCTTTCCCCGTTACTCAACATTATGTTATTGTGCCTGAAATGCCGTTGAGGTACTGTGCTCAGAATTTGCTCAAGGCTGAACCCACACCCTTGTACAAGTTTGAGTGGCACCCTCAGTCCAAAGCGTTTATGCATGTTATGTGCAAGACTAGTGGAAAGATTGTAAGTAACCTAGTTGCTTATATCTTTAATATCATTTTTTTGTGTGTTATTCTGTGTTTAAAATTTGAGTATTACTTCGATAACTAATATATTATAGGTTGGCATTAGACATCGACACTCACCAAAGAATGGTACTAATAATATCTAATATTGTATTTGAGATTTATCTATATATGATATATTGATATGCTGTGTTTTGGTGATTAATTTTCTGTGTGTGTGAACTTTAATGATTTTGTTAATCAGTGATAGATGTGTGTATAATTGATTTTTGGTTGTGTGATTTGGAAGGTGGCAAGTGTGGAAGTGCCTCTCTTTGTTACTTTCCATTTCATAAATGCATATGAGGAGGAAGATGAAGATGGGAGGGTGAAGGCAATTATTGCTGACTGTTGTGAGCACAATTCAGATACTGCCATTCTTGATAAGCTTAGGTTGCAGAACCTTCGCTCATTTAATGGCGAGGATGTTCTACCAGATGCTAGGTATTTGATATTTACATTATCTTAGTATTTCCTCCGGAAAGGTCATTTATATATGTGAATGAAAATAATCTAAAAGCATAGTTTGTTGAATATTTTGATCAACAGGGTTGGTCGGTTCAGAATACCACTAGATGGAAGTCCATATGGAACATTAGAAGCAGCATTGGACCCAAATGAACATGGTAGAGGGACAGATATGTGCAGCATAAACCCTAATTATTTAGGAAAGAAATACAGATATGCCTATGCTTGTGGAGCAAAGCGCCCTTGTAACTTTCCCAACACCCTCACCAAGGTTTTATTTATATTTCAAGTTTTATAAATTTATGTCCGGAATATCTTTGGTTACCTATATATATATTTGGTTAAAGGTGGTTTGATATGCAATATGCAGATTGATTTTGAATTGAAAAAGGCAAAGAACTGGCATGAAGAAGGTTCTGTGCCCTCAGAACCACTCTTTGTGGCACGACCAGGAGCAACAGAGGAAGATGATGGTTAGAACTCTTATAATTCAAGCCTGTGCTAGCCTTTTGTCAGCTCCTTCTTGTTCATTACATTTGGTCTATATATAGCTTCTAACCTTACTTTCTCTCATGGCAGGCGTGGTTATTTCCATAGTCAGTGAGAAAAATGGAGAAGGATTTGCTTTGTTGTTAGATGGTTCCACCTTTGAAGAGATTGCTAGGGCCAAGTTCCCTTATGGACTTCCATATGGGTTGCATGGATGCTGGGTACCAAAAGAGTAACAGTATGGCTAATGACTGTGCTATAAAACCAAATCTTCTCAAAAGAAACTACTCAAGCATTACACCTGTACAATATATTATGCAACAAAATACTATGAGCTCACGTAGATAGTGATCCATGATGTACGTACGTGAATGATAAATTACGTAGCAATTACGGACTTCGTCTTTCCTTCAGCATTCGTACACTGTACTTATGTATTAATCAATGAGTAATTTCAATTCTTCTCAGATCTATGACTACCATCCTTATTCAAAATAAGATCGTTTTACACATAATCCAAAAGTATATTGTTAAAACATTAAGTGCTGCGCCATCACCTGACCATGTTTTATTAGTAAGAACATAAATCAGCCAGGGAATGATGTTTGGAACATAAGAGTTTTCTGGACTACTCGGATAAGGCATCTCACGAAACTTGATACCCAGATTCAAGACAAACCAATTTGGTTTTAGCAATTGGACAGTTTTGTCATTTCAAAGAAACATCCAGAATGCGCCATATTTATAACTAGAAACCAACTCTTCTGCATGGTCTGACTTGTAATGGTTATTGCCTTCCTAGGTTGCTTTCGTATAAAAGACGCATCTTAACAAAACTTATTATTATTGGACTTTGTCTGTTTGTCTTGTAAGACGACCTCCCAGAAAGATGCCTCTGGCCACCCTCACCAAAAAATAAAATAAAAAATCAGACACGACCGTGCATGTGTCAGATCTACAAACTTTCTCAGCTGAGGAATCCCCAATTATTTTTTGAACCCCCTATGAATTTTGCAAATAGATCAGGTACATAATGTGATGTAAACTCCCAGTGTCGAAGAATAACCTTGAGTTGTCCGCTGAATAGCATTTAAAGATATATAGATGACTATTTCTGATCAATATAAACAGCATCAACATCGTCAAGCTCAAGTAATTTGCTCATGAGTTCCTTGTTCAAGTCCATAGCCTCATCGTCTACCTGGAAAATCAAGAGTAACTCAAACAGGTTTCTCCTGGCCCCATTGTTTTCTAATTAAAAAGAAGGAATAGGCAATCCCTTTTTATATAGAAAAAGTAGTAGAATAACTTTCCAAAGTAGAATGTAGACGTTAAATACTTTTATAATCATCATCAACATACAACAAAGACATGCTCAAACAGTTGATGGGATGAACAATCTCATCCTCACAAAGTATGAAAAGGGCTTGAGGTTGATTTGATTGCCTTGGGATTTGTCTATTCACAACATGAGTTCAAGGCTACAAGTAATGAATTCTGAAACTGGACAAGAGAAAGAGAATGCAGATTTCTCAAGCCTCAAGTGGAACGACTTCCATTTGACCAGAGAATGTAGATAACTAATAATCATGAACAAATAAAAGCTACAATGCAAGCATAATATTGGTATCCATGGAGAAGCATAATATTGGTATCCATGGAGTCGGCCATTTTCCCTGCCTCCACAAACTTGAATTAAAGGATAGAGTAGCACTGTTGTTTAGATGCATTAGTTAGTTTACACATGCCAAAAATGCAAAGGCTGTGCCATCTACAGCCAATTCAGAGGATTAGGGCGGTAAGCAATTTACATCACCATTTCTTTCTTTAAAAAATATTCAGGAAATCCAAATAGTTCTTTACTATTTTCAATTAAATTCTGAACTTCTCATAAAATGAAACTTTGATAACCTTTTGGCTAATCCTCAACTCAAGAATGTACCATCACTAATGCTCCAGTTGGCTAATAGTTGGGGGCAGGGGAGATGAATGTAAAGATTTAAATTTTTCTTTCCCTCTATCCAAACAGATCAGAAATGAAGGCCCAGGACAAAAATAGGGGTGGTTTATATAACGTGAATCCAGAAACAATTGTTAGAAACACTATTCATACTCTTCAAGAGTTCAAGAAAGCTTCCTGAAAAGGAAATGTGTGTCTACAAATGGAAAGCTGTAAAAATGCAATACATCCAGAAAAACATAAAAGTGAGTCATGAAAAGACAATTCCCAATGTCATTTTACAAAATTGTACTTACACCTTTAGCAGGCTTGCTTGATGAAATTTGTATGCTATGTAAAACCAAAAGGAGAGAAGGAAGAAAAGAAAAACGAAAATCCAAGAAATGAAACAGCATATGCAATAGCCAACAGAAACAAACCTGAACAGTGGTAGTTGGAAGAAGCTCAGAACCATTGTCAGGCTCAAAATCTATGCCCTCCTCCCGCAGCTTAGATAGTATAGATGAATAGTTATCTGAAGAACCTACAATTTTATAATACCTGACAAAATGAAATAAAATCAATTCTAGTAGGCAAACTACAATGTTTTGCCCTCCACTCATTGTTGTGAAGCTGTAACCGAATAGAACAGTAAAGGTTGGAATATGTTACAGCTACCAAAAGTTTGGGTTTCAATGCAGATAATCAACTTCCACAGTTATGCATAAAGTTCATTACTCAAATCAAAGGGTATTATGAAGCTTGGGTTGGTGTTGGAGCTCTCTCAATTATAGATAATGTGTTTCGTCCATGTATGTTGATTGTGGACCACACATAAATTCAATCTAAGATTGTACAACAGACCACTCAAGTCAGCTACATTATGCAGTAATGCTTTTGCTCAGACTAGCATTGTATTCTTCAATAATTGGTAAGAGTGGTTTTGATTTTATTTTTATTTTTTTTTAGTAAAATATATGATTTCATCATATTTGGTTCCAGGTTTCCTGCACCAAGACCAAGTAAATGCCCCAGAAGGCCGGGACTACTATTTTGAAGACAGAGGAAAGAGACAAGAATAAAAATGTCATAAATCTTTTCATATGAAGACAAGAAATTTGATTGAAACTAAGAAACACAATAATAAAAATCAGAGCATTACCTTTCTGACCTATCCTCTTCAGTGTCATCTTCATAAGTTGGAGGTTCAATTACATCCTCAGCTCCAGCATCTAAAGCAATGGTAAGCAGCTGATCTTTGTCAGCATTGGTGACTTTAACATTTACTACCCGAACACGTCTAAACTTAAACGTTACAGATCCAGAATCCGCCATCTTTCCACCATAGTCTTTTAACACTTCTCTAATCTTTGCCACAGAACGATGTACCTTATCAGTCGATACCTCAACCACCATACTAACTCCACCATAACCATAAACCTGAGGGGTAAATGCAGTAGGACAAGAATTAAATATAAATCAACAGGAAAAAACCACTGGGTGAGAGAGGTACTTAGCACCCAAGGATAGGCCCAAACAAATAAGTGATCCATTCCCAGGCAGCTGGGCTGGGTCCCATCTATTAACTAGAACCATTTACCCAATTGAATCCATTTTTTCCCCTGCACCCAAAACTGTTTTACCTAATTCCTGTTTAAATCTTACAGCTAAGAATTGAGCAAATAATAATAGCAAACAAATTTTGTCCTTAAAACCGTTAAATATCTCAATCTGCCAAATATAATGATTGTTTGGATAACCAGGATGAATCATTTTAAGAAAAATGTATTCTGGAATAATTAGTAATGAAGTAATAATTTGTGGAAGATTGATTATTATTTTCAGGAATGTTGGCCAAAATTAACTTTGTGAGAAAAAATGCAACAAGTAAAATTGTTTTCTTAGTAGCTAATCCTTTTCTAAAACAGGTAAAGATTTTAATTTATGATTACAAGTGAGGATCGGTTGTAAACTGATTTTGCCCATACATCCATGTACAAAAGTAATAAAATTACTTACACTCAGCCCAAACAGATATTTGAGATGTTAAGGTACCATAATTAATAATGGCAGTGGAACCTGAAAGTTATTTGCAATATCCAATTGTCCAGAATGGATTTGGTTTCTTTCCTTTACCTTCAAAGCATGCCAGTGTCATTTTAAATAGAGGAAAAACAAACTACTTCTATGTAACATTGGTGAACTCCTAGTAATGGTGTGTATCTACACAAGAATGTTTATGTTTCTCTCTCAAAACATGACACTGCATTGTTCTTTAGAAAGAGGAGATAATCAAAATCTGTCCACAATGAAGTTCTACATCACAAACATATGTTTCCCTTTAGCAATCAAATTATAAGTAGTTTTCTACCAACCTCATAGATTTTCTCGATGTAAGCCTCTTGTCCTTTTTCAGAAGCTCTCTTGATGTTGCGCTCAACAATATCTTTAGGCACATCAAGCTCCTTGGCTTTCTCAAGTACAGCAGCCAAAACTGAATTGGATGTAATATTTGGACCACCTTTCTTTACACTGCCATTCAGCATGATGAATGTCATGCACATTAAGTTTCTTTAATAAAGAAAATGAAGATGTTAACAAACTCCTCTAGTTTGAACCAATATGGATTACAGAATAGATAAATGTTAAATTTCAGGAAAATCAGGCATCAATCCTGCACGCAGTAAAGAAAAACCTAAAAAAGATAAAGGATGAGCACGCAATTTATTTGCATCATTAAAGCTTGGGCATTAGAAGTTTGAATTTCTAAATACCCTTGTCACCTCAAAATAACTTTGTACCATTAGTAACAGTGATATAACCGATGCAACATAAAAGCTACTTGTTAGATAAGGAAGAACATACGCAGACACAACTTCCTTTCCAATCCTTGAGTATAGTTTTGCCTTCTTTGCATCTTGGGCTTCCTGTTCCAATAACAGTTAATATCAAACTAACTAGAGCAGTAGTTGGGATATTTGAGATATGGGGTTAGAATAAATGAAACATGTCACAAAACTTTCATCAAATAGGTAGCATGCAATGCATACCCAAACAAATTAAAAGAGAAATTAAGAATGACCTTTCTCCCAGCAATTTTGCTGGAACGCCTTCCCATACAAAGAGGAGTGGAAGTCCATATTTTTCTCACTCGACACTTATCAGCGAAGGTTCTATTTGTATCCAACGATAAGCTCTTGAGCAGCGAAGTAGTATAATTCCCTGAATCAGAAACTCGTCATGAATTACCAAAATGCAATTGCAATAGAGAGAGAGAGAGAGAGAGAGAGAGAGTACCGCGAAGAAAGAGAGAAGATGATAGCGAAACCCGAGTTGTAAAAGTATGAAGCTGAAGCACTGCTCTTAACGCTCTCATCGTTTTATTTCCCGCCCTAAAACCGTGTTACTGCAACTGCAATTTATATTTAGTTCCCTCTTGCTTATTAAAAATAAAATCATATGTTAGCAACAGAATTGCCCCTTTCATCAACGTGTGATTCCTAGCTTTATGTATGAAAAATATACTGTTAAAAAACATTATATATTAAAGGTGGTTGCATTTACTTCAATGATAATCTTTAATCCATCTAAATTCATCTTAGAGTGCATGCAGCCTTGGGAGAATGAGTTCCTATTCCTTGTCTTTCTCAAATGCCTTTAGTTTCTGTTTCCAATTTAACAGGGACCATAAACCGACAAATGGATTCACAGTGCAATCAAAAGTAATATTTTCAAAAGGAATAAAAGATTGAGAGAGAGATATTAATATATTAAATATGAGTGTGATGGTAATTACAATCAGTCAATTTACCTTTTCCTCATAAACCATCAGAATATGTGATGCTGACCCTAAATTTGTAAGACTTTCTTTTTAGGAATTAAAAAAGTAATAAAAAATAATTTTGAATTTTTCTTCTTTATTCAAATGATTAATAAGTTCATCAAAAACACTCATTAGTCGTTTTTTAACTTGGTAAAACAAAAAGTTAAGAATAGGAAAATCCTACCATACTTCTTTAATTGAAGGGATTTCGATGTCTACTTTAATTAAACTGCAAACAAATATTATTATATTATATCACGTTTATATTTTAATACATAAAATACTTACAAAATAAAAGAATTGTAAAAACTGTAGTTTTAAAAAGGTTTCAAACTTGAAATGTGTATTAAGGTATAATATTGAGAACCTATGATAATTAAAAATCAATTAATTTAATTAACAATTATATCGTTAATTTATAGTGAATGAAATGCAAAATGTAGATTATGAAATATTCTCAATTTGAGTAAGGAAAAAGTCTTTAGACTACTTTGTTTTTATTTATATAAAGATTAATATATTTCTAAAAAAATAAGACTTATAAAAAAATCATTATAAAAAGAATCAAATAATTTTAAAGTATAATATTAAATAAATACAGTTATTACAAAATAAGTAACGTAATTAAAGATTGAGTTATTAACTTATTATGATTAAATATTAAAATAAAAACTAAAATATAAATTGCAAAAAAAAATTCGATTTGATTGAAAAAAAAATGGTCCTACACTATGTCAAAAGAAAATATTAAAATGTAGATTAAAAAAATCGATAGACGGTAAAATCATCTTACTTGAAAAGTTAAAATAATAATAAGAGAAATTTTATATATTGAAGTTTCACATTACTTGTGTGTGATAATAAGAGCCCCACTAATTAATAGTAGTCAATTTATTTATTGATATCTCATAATATTTATTGAAAAATGTTAGTCATTAAAAAATTTAAATTATATAAACTTCTTAATTTATTTTTTTTATAAAAGTATACGTACCTTTTAATAAGAAATTAGTGACTAATATATAATTATATATATCTTATTTAAAAGAATTTGTTTGTTAAAAGATTATCCACTTAGCCGAGTGGATCCAAATCCACATAGCTCGTAGACTAATGGGCTTTAATATGTGAGTATGATTTTTGCTTTTCGTTGGGTTTATATTTTCGGTCGTCAATATGAAAATGAACAGCCTACCATGTCGTAAATCAAATTCCGACATGACCAAAAAATATATATTATGATAAATTTTAAGCAAATTTAATACTTTAATTCTATTATTCTTTTATTGAGTTTTACCTTTTAATTTTTATTATCCCGTTATTTATCATTCCAGCACAAATTACAAGTAAACTTCTAAAGAAGTATTTGTAAAAAAATATTTTTCAATAACTAAATTAACACATTAAGTTACATAAATAAAAGACCTATTAAAAAATAAAGGAATATATATTAATTTGAATTTATAAAAATATATTTTTTATTTTTTACTTATAAGTATTTACTTAAAATAATTATAAAACAAGATTAAAATTAAATAAAAACAAATAAAAAATTAGATAATTAAATTATTAATTTTATCTAACTTTTATTTGTCTCTTTTTGTTTTCCTTTTTCACAGTTTCAGACCAAAATAAAGAAATAAAGAAACTTTGGAATTGAGGTATTCAAAACAAAACTACATGTTAAATTTTAAGCCACGTGTAATTAAAAAACAAAAGTGAAAAACTTACGTGATACATATTATAAATTTTATCTGTTTAACTTAAGTTAAAAAAATAGTCGACATTAAAAAAATATGATTTAGAACATGTTTAATTTCTATTTTAAAAACAATTTTTGTTTTTAAAAATATAATATATATTTGTACTATATTTTATTTTTTAAAATAAAAAACTTTTTTTAAAATAGAAATCAAATATACTCTTAGTATTTTTTTACCTATTTATATAAAATTCATTCTTAACATTTTTGCCGGACCTAAAATCAATCTAAGCATACGTTACATTAAATTGGCTCAGATTTGCCCAAAAGATTTTCGGTATGATTTTTATTTTATTTTATTTTTCATAAAACATTACCATTATTTTTAAAATATTCGTTTAATCTTTCCAATAACTTTTTCCTTTGTTTAGAAATCACTGATTAAACTATAATATTTTGATTATCTTAACATAAGACAATTTAATTAAGTATATTTAAAATCTATAGTCTCTATTTAATTAATAAACCAAGTTTTTTTCCACCTTCTGTATACAGATAGAAAATAACAATCTAATTCTACAAGAAACCATGCATGCTCACTTTTCTATAACCATGTGTGTATTATCCATTATACAAATAGTTAAGCAGTTAAATTATATCAAATAATAAACTGTTCATAAACATAGTCCATGAGGAAAAAGTCCAACAACGAAGAATGGTTAAAAAAAGCCATCAATACAAGTTTTTGTGTTCAAGTGGATTGGCAGCTGGTGGTTGGCATGGTTGAAGCAAACAATGATGCAGTAGTTAAAAAATGCCAATAAGATTTTGTGCCAGTTATGCAATTATTATATATTCATCTACTTCTATTCATGATCCTAACTATCAGCACCTAAGTTTTAGGAATCTCCCTATGCAACACCTTTAATCCATATTAACTCAGAAACACCTACAAGACAAAGGATTAAACAACAGTGTATATTATAGAGATGAATGCCCACATGAAAGGGTCCCACCAGCCACCTATTCCAGAAATTAAACAGCACATTGCATGAGTATCTTGTCTTTCCTAGCATCTTCCAACTTTAATATATACTTATTATTATTTTTCTCTAAGTTTTGAAAAATTCATGCATGTGATCATGCTTGATTGTCTCTATATTACGCGTCTTTCTTCGTTCACACGTCCCATAATTATAACACGTAACTTTCGTTCCTTGTTTGTTCATAAAATACTAAACAACACACAACAAAAATTGGTGTTGTATCTTTTTCCCGCTTACACTACATTCTAACCTTCACCTTACTTCTAGAATTCTTTATTGTTTATGCCTTCTTTATTAAATAATTTTATCATAGAAGGTAAAAAGTTATAAGTTTAATTCATCTTTCGTTAAAACGTATGACATGCCCTAAATTTTTCTTATAGTGAAGACAAAAAAACCATCTAGTAGTATTTGCTGAAAATATTTTTGACAATTGAAATACAGTATATATTATAACTCAATTTCTAAAAAAAGAAAGAAAATATACAAGGATAAAATTATTTACGGGCTTTAGTCGATCTATAATTAGTGAATAATGAACTCGGTAAATTATTGTTGGTTACATTAAATTTGACGTGGAGTAAGTATAAAATAAATTAACATTTAATACTCTCTTAAGTCTTTTTTATAAGAAACAAAAAGACTAAATCATTAGAATTAAGAAAAATAATTAAGTATATTATATTTTTTATAAAAATAAATTTTATTTTAAAATACTTATGATATTAAACGGTGTAATTAATAATTTATATATTTAATGATACTAATAAAAAAATATAAAAAAATTAAGAATTAATATATATTGAATTTATCATTTATTTTTTATAATAAAGATAAAAAATGCTTTATTTTGTTTTTTGTAAAAAGGACGGAGGAGTAATATATTGTTGCATTATTTAATCAATTTCAAAATATTAATGCTTCAAACTTCAATCCTAAAAATTTATCAATCTTAATGTATTTTTTTAACTTAAATGAGACGAACTAACTAAAAGCAATAGTCTTTATTAATATAAATATTATAGGTATCTGTCAATTATATAATGCATCAATAATGTGTGTGTGTATCAATTGTATATATTAATAAAATCATAAAAATAATCAATAAAACCGTTGACAGTCTCAAATGATTTGTACCCGTCTTATCAGCTACTAACACAAGTGTATGATAGTAGAACCATCTTTCCAATATTTTTATAGCCTTGTTGTGTGCTCCGTTTTTGGCAAGTCAAATCTGCACAAGAGTTCGCTCTTTTAAGAAGCACTTTTACCTCCCATGCTCTTTTTTTTTTTCATAAATGTCTTAATATTTCTATTTATTAATTCCTTCAAGCTTACATTTATTAGTACATATACTATATGTTGATATAAAAAAAATGGTGTATATTATTAATTAATACATCATATCATTAACATTAACTTTTAATACTTGTATTAATAGATTAGTTTTTTAAAACTCTAAATAATTGATTGAATGAAGTAAAACATAAGTTCACATTTGATTAGATTACGTCTTTAAACCTTTACTTTCCTTTTTTAAGTGAGGTAAATATAAATTTTATGCAAACCCCCTTTTTCTATAAAAATTTCTCAACCAAAAATAAATTGACTATCTTTAGATAAGTTTTATATTAATAATTATTAGTTTAATGACTTAATTTTTTATGTTAACGTGTGAAGTTCTTTAATTTTGTTTACTACTGATCTTTATAAAAAAAAATTATTTTATAATTTTTTCTAATTGAGTTAGTCTTCATTAATATATGTTTTTCAAATAACAATTAAATTATTAGTATAAAGGAATAATAATATCACGTATTCATTAATAAATAATTTGATTAGTAAAATATATTATTCTATTTGTTAATATAGACCATAAAAGTCTTTGTTAATTGATAATTCAATTTTTTGTAAGATGAAAATCATCTTAATATTTAGCAAAATTTTGTTTATAATTTTTTTTTTCTTTTTGTAACATGCGTGTAAAATGTATGTATTTAATAGAATTTTAGCAATACAATTTAGACCATGTTTGGGAGAGAGCTTTTAGAGGGAAAGAAAGGGAAGGACTTATTTTTATATTTTAAATAAATATATTTAAAATTAATAAATTTTAAAAATAAAAGATATAAAT